CGGCGGGGCCGGGATAATGCATGCGGGCGTGGCGATCCGTCCGCGCCTGGCTCGTTGCCGGTGCCAGCCGCATGCTGCAGCCCGTGTGTGTGCGCCTCCGTGGCTCCGTCCCTAAATATAAGCTCTACTCATACTATTTTGGGGTTTATTTAATAAAAAGTGAACGTTAATTTGGTCTAGTTGGATTTTTGTTTTTGTCTCTAGTCAAACAAATTAAGTCTGACCAAGTTTACAAAGAGAGCAATTAATAGTATCTACATTACCAACCCCGCAAAAAAAATCTATATTAGCAAAGAAATGCACGATCAAAATATATTTAATGATATATCTACAGAAGCGCTAAATATCTAATTTCAGATTTTTTTGACGTGGCAAATCTGACTTTTTCACGGTAATTTATATTGGCGCTGTGATCACAAATTTAGTTAGTAAACATGACAATTTCTTGGCAAAATAAAATCCAAGACAAATTTGCCATGCTCGTCAACTAAACATGTCATCCTTGATGAACATAATTTGCCATTAAAAATATTCAGTTTGCCATGATAAAAAATCTGACATTAAATTTGTACCCAAGTCCTATCTAAGGTTTGGTCATTAATTTGATTAATAAAAGATTTATAGGTCTCACACATATCTAAACTAAACCAATAAAATATTTGTAATGGTATACCTATTGATGCTGCCTCTATGTTGTTTATAGGTCTCACCCATCTTTTAATAAAATGTTTGCTCGCTAATTTGATCAATAACATATGAGTACAAAAATATACCATTGAAAGCTTCTCTTGAGCATGAATGTAATACTCCCTCAGATCCAAATTAATTGTCGTAACAAAGTTGTACTAGAGCTACCACAATTAATTTGGATCGGAGGGAGTAACATATTCTTGTGACATATAATTAAAAACTAAAAAGATAGGTTATTGATTTAGTTTCACGGATATTGATATTTTCGTATATAATATAAACGTGGTCAAACTTAAAAAGCTTTGATTTAGAAAAAAATATGAAATACATTTTGGGAACGGAGGAGTACCAAATCCGTCCCAGTTCAAAAATGCGTACTGACCAAAAAATAGGGCCTTGTATCGTCGCTCTTGCCACCATTGACGTCTACTCCCTCCGTTCCGAATTACTTGTCTTAGATTTGTCTAGATACAGATGTATCTAGCATTAAAATGAGTCTAGATACATCCGTATCTAGACAAATTCAAGACAAGTAATTCGGAACGGAGGGAGTAGTTGCCTATCTATTTGTTGTTTTTTAACACTTTCTTTGATATAAGATGGACTGCTTCTTTTATGAGAGAAAAGACGAGCTGCTCTAGGAGTGGGAGTGCAAATCATGAAGACGGAGCCACATATTCACTGCATTCCAAACTATGAGGTTGTATCTGCACGCAAAACGGAGATGAAGTCATGCGTCGCAAATTTTCCAAAGTTTCGCCATCATCAGGGCACGAGGCTAGTCATAGTGGAGAGTAATTTAGAATACTGTCGTGCATATAACACTATTCTTTGTTACTATCTTTATAGTGTAAAGTAACATACAAGTAGTATATAGATGATAACATTTATTACATTATAAATTTATTTTGCTTTGGGTTGCGTTATGTTACAGTAACATATTAGGGCATGTACAACGGTGGCATATGGATACATATGCCCCATGACAAAAAGTAATTTGAGGCACCTACATTAACTTTTTTCTCTTCAATGCAAGCTATCACTAGTGGACCTTATTAAGAAATAGAAAATAAAGAATCTAGTACACATGCATCTTTACTTTTCACCCAACCTTTTCAGTTTTTGTCACCGGACCACACTTTTTCTGTTCAAGCACCCGCCTCCTGAAGAGGATCCCGCTTTCCTATCCGAACCTACTTTACGTCATATCCGATCCTACATGGCATGCGAGGCATCACCTTGGGCTATGCATTGTACATGCCCTTGGTGGCATATAGATACATATGCCCCATGATAAAAAGTAATTTGAGGCATCCACATTTATTTTTTCTCTCCAATGCAAGCTACCATTAGTGGGCCTCATTAAAAAATAGAAAATAAAGACTTTAGTACACATGCATCTCTACTTTTCATTCCAACCTTTTCAGCTTTTGTCACTGGATCACACTTTTTCTCTTCAAGCACCCGCCTCCTGGAGAGGATCCCGCTTCCTTATCCGAACCTACTTTACGTCATATCTGATCCTACATGGCATGCGAGGCATCACCTTGAGGCTATGCATTGTACACGCCCTTATGTTACTCCAAACACGTCTCTCCTCATTAACTATATGCCATATAAGCAAACTTGTCTTGGAATACGTTATGTTACTTGCTAAGTTATTCCCACTATGACCAACCTGAGGCGGTCCACTATCAAAATTCAGGCCTGTTTGGTTCATAAGTCTTAGGACTTTTTTTAGTCCCAATTTATAAGTCTCAAGTCCTTAAAAAGTTCCTGCCTGTTTGGTTACTGGGACTTAATATGGACTAAAAGACCATATTACAACTACAAGTCCCTCCTTGAGAGTCTTATTTCATAAGTTTCAAATGCCCACTTTAAGTCTTTATAAGTCTCTCCTGTTTGGTTTAGATGAGACTTATAGGGACTTTTTAAGTCCCTGGAAACAAACACCCTCTCAACTAGGAGTATGAATGGGCTAGTCATAGTGGGGAGTAATTTAGACTAGTAACATGCATATGTTACTAGTCTATGTTACTACCTTCATAGTGGGGAGTAACATGTATGTGGTATCATGCAAGTCATCATTTATTAAGATGTAGACTCATTTTGCCTCGTGATGTGTTATGTTACAGTAACATATTATGTTACTTCAACCATCTCTTTCCTCATTAAATACATGCCATGTAAGCAAAGTTTTCTTAGAGTGTGTTAGGCTGGTTGTAATGGGGAGTATCATATACTCATATCATGCATATGATACTAGTGTATAATACTACCTTTCTAAGGCTGGTCACAATGGGGAGGAACTTAGGAGTAACATCACACACTCCAATACAACTTTGCTTATGTAGCACATATTTAATGAAGAGAGAGGTGCTTGTGGTAACTAGCTAAGTTACCGGAACATCACACACTCCAAGAAACAATAAGTCTATAACCTAATAAATACATCGTTGCATGACACTACATAGATGTTCCTACCCGCTATGGAGGTAGTAACATAGTCTAGGGAAGTGTGTAAGTTACTAGCTTATGTTCTTGCCCATTGTGACCAGCCTAATGCATAGTATCATATATTAGTATCATGTAGTACTCTATTTATTGTCATGCATGACACAAAATATCATGACATTTATTATGATACGATATCATGATATGATACTACACCTTCTCTTTCTTCATTTAATACTATGTCACCTCATCAAAATTATCTAGTTGACATGCATGATACTAGCTACGATACTACCATTACGACCAGCCTTATGTTACTTGCTAAGTTACTCCCACTATGACCAACCTAACCACCCAAGTCAAGAGTACTTTTATGTTTCCAATGCACTTTAAAGGAGGAAAAAATACTTCTCTCATCACACGGTAATCAAGACCAATAGCAATCTACACATGGTCTTTTTAATTCCTACATGCACTTAGCTCATTGGGGGTTGGGTAATTAAAAAGGAGAGAGATGGTGGCTTGCACTTTTCCAGTGCACTATCAAATCTACACTCTTTTGTGGACAAATTTTAAAGCTATATGTACACTCTTCACCAGACGGAGGGAGTATATGACCACTCCGTATCCTAAGGCTACTTCTTAGGGAGCAAATGCGTTAAATCCATGCACCCCATTGGATCCCCACGACGACCTTGCCTCCTCTCTTATACTCTGGGTGAAGCGTGTGATCAAGGGCTGCTTGGCATCAAACACACGTGCATTGGATGCCTTCTAGATCCACCATGTCGTGAGGAAGGAAAGGCCATTGCGTTGTCACGGCAGGCTATGAGCCAATGGATGTCGCCCACCATCCGAATAAAGAGTCATCTACGCTTGGTGAGGAGGTGTCGTAGCGCAGCACCAGGTAAGAGTTCCGTGCCGAACATGATTTCTAAAATGTGAAAATAGAAGAAATAAATAGAGATTCATATATGAATACGAAGTGTCATTGCCATGTTTAATACTAGTATATCAGATTGCATGTATGTTTGATTGTGCACAGAAAAACAAGGATTCTTCACATAAGTTTTAAAGTGGATTTTTTTTTCTGTGAATCTAGTACAAAATGAAATGAATTAAACAAGGATTGTGCAAATTTGCAATCCTATATCGATCAGACAATGCATCCAGGGAAAAAAAATCTCAATGAATAAAATTCTTTAAAATCTCGTTTAGTAGTAATAATTATTTGAATCAAAAAGGTCTTTGTTGGTGCGGACGCACGGCCGCGGGCAGCCGCCGCTCATACCCTACACCTCGTGCTAGGGTTTCTTCTGCCTCCCGCCGGTGCCGTCGCCGGTCTATCTCGTCTCCTGTGGTCTTAGGACCATGGATGCGCGGTGGATCCCGGCTCTTGCCGGTGGAAGGGCTTCGCTTTTTATAGTTTTTTTTAGTTTTGTTAGGGTTTGTGTCCTTTTCAGAGATGCGAGGCGGAGGCGGCTCTCTGTAGATGAAATAAGGTCCTCCCCGTCTAGCCCCCGTTTTCGATGGTGTTTCTAGCATCGTCGGAGGGCGTGTGGGGGT